ACTCAAGACAGCCATAACATTATGTTTCTTTACAAGTGTATGTAAACTTTTGACCACAACTGTACCTGTGGACACGCTGCCTCTCTGAGGTCAGGGAGGGCTTCAAAACAGACTGCACAGTTTGTGTGGCTCTTATCCAACCACGGTTTCTTTTTTTGTTGTTGTTTTTACTTTTTCAGCACTTTCAGAAAGTTGTCCCACATCAGTTTGACAGCGGGCCAGATAAAGTCATCCAGACTGCATATCAAGTCAAATACAACGCCAAGAAAATGAAGAAGTAACAACAGCTTTTTGTTTTACGCTCTTTATTTACTTCTTATTCTTCTTCTTCTTGTATTAGCATTTTTTAAAGGAAATGTGTTTAACAAACTTTTGTAATTACATTTAGATATGTCAGTTCAGCTTCATCTGCTATATGTTGTCTTTCTGAAAATAATTTTCATATCAGATTTACACATCATGTATATATGTTACACTGCTGTGTTCTGAGCCCACAGTGAACACGTTTCTGTTTCTGTTTTTGTTTATTCAGGTTAGAGAAAGAATACACTACAATCAAAACAAAAGAGCTGGAAGAGCAGGTGGAAATAAAGGTGTGGGTTTGATTCAAATGCATGTCTGAAATGCCACAAAAGCTTTTCGCCAATCAGCCAAAATAATGTTTTATTACGATGCAAATTATTCAATATTTCAAGACTATAAATGCTGGAATTAGCACAATAACTGAATTTCATCCATTTCCACCTAATGATGAGCAGCAGCCCTGATGTTTTGAGGCATGGACTCTTCTGGATCAGTGGTGCCCAAATTTGAGGTTGTGACCTAATTGTGGGGCACTAAGCATCAAGTTAGAGTCCTTGGATAATCTCCAGAAATCAAAAAATATTGTTGATGCAATATTTATCTTATAATTATTGCAAAAACACGTAAAATTATAAACATAGTATTTCTGTAAAAGCTGTTTGGATTGTTTAGCCCCTGTTTTTTAGGGTTACTGACAAAATTTGTGTACTCATTCCATAATATTTGTGGTCACAAGCCTCTGCCACAGATATTTTGTGGATCAGAAGGTGAAAAGTTTGGGAACCACTTTTCTAGACCTTTGAAGGTTTACTGGAGGAGGTCAGCTCTTGTGGTGGTGGAAGGGTGTCCGTCTCCTTCTGACTGACTGACGGGCAGAAACTGTGTTAGTCATTTAAAGAGGTTTTCTTAGTTCTGCCTTCAGAAGTTCGATTAGGAAAGAAGATATCAGGAAGAATGTTAGTTCAGAGACTTGCCGTCGCCTCCTGAAGCTAAACAAAGATTAATGCTTCTGCACAGTTGAATAAACAAAACATATCATGACTTATTTAGTTATTATCTGATGAGAACTCTTTAAAATAATGACTTAAAGAATGAATTACTTCAAACTCCAAACATTTGCAAATATGATTCAGACAAATAAAACATTGATGTTTCATCACAGGGTTCCTACAGATCCTTAAAAAGTCTTAAAAGGCATTGAATTCATCAATCCAAAAATAAGGCCTTAATTAGCCTTAAAATGTCTTAAATTAGTCTGTCAGAAGTCTTAAAAATGTTAACACATTGCAAATAGGATAATTGTTATTTGTCTCAAGTATTTAAATAATTGATAACATTTTTTTAAACGTTCACATGCAGACATTCCTCTTTGACATCACTTCCTGTTACTGCACATGCAAATATCTCTACAACCGTCTGTCTGAGGAACCCTGCATCAACGTTAAACCATAAGGATTAGTCTAGTTAAATGATATATTTTCACAGAAAAATCCATAACGTAGCTGAAATCATATTGAAGGAGAAAAGAGATCTGTCCTCTTTCCTCCTGTAACTTGATAAACATTGTTTCATGATTATCGAAATATGTCAAACTCTAAGAGAATAATAAATCAAATAAAAAGAAGATTATTTTGTTTATTATCTGATTAAGAAAAAGAGAATGTCTCTTTTATAGGTTAAGGCGACCTAAGGTGGCCTAAATTCAATTCTAAGTGGAACAGAGTTTTTGTCTTTAAAGGGCCCGTCAGAGGCCTGTCAGAGGCCTGGGGTCAAAGACAGTTTTCTTGATTATCCCACTCAAGGTGACCCCTTCAATTACATCTGGCTGAAAACCCATGTATGCATAGTGAGAACACGCAATTGTCCCTTATCATAAATTTAATGAAATGTATCACTTATCAACTCAGTGCTTATCAGAAAGTTGTAGTTAGAAACAACACTATGCCTCACAACTGCTTCAAAATAAAAAGAATAACGAGGAGTGAAAGGAGAAAATCAATGGCTCGATAGGACATGATAACATAACAAGAATAAATGTCACGTCATCACTTTGCCAGGATTAGCCATTCATTTTTCTCCTGGTCTTTATTTCAAATAGATTAAACTAATCAACAATTATTAATTTCGGCTGATATGAAACACTTAAAATATTTTTCAGCCGTATCACCCAGACAAACACAAGATAATTTTGTTTTCCTACATTTTGAAGCAAGTAAATGGAACATGGTTTGTAGTTGGGTGGAGATGAAGATGAGGATGCTGGATTTATTTTAAGATAAGATCAAATAAAATAAGATAAGATAAAACTTTATTGATCCCACAGTGGGGAAATTTGCACATTAATGCAGCTGACTGCAGGAGAGGGTAAGATAAAATAAAAAAGAAGGATAAATAAAAGGAAAGAGAAAAAAAAACATTATATACATAATATATTACAATACACATATACATATGTATGTGTATATATATGCACAAATAGTACATCAATCACACACATCTACAGTACATCAACATACACTATATATACAGATAACATTACATTTTATGTGATGTAGTTTCTCCTAAAAATCTAAATTTTACTGGTAGTGACTTATCTGTGATTTTGTTTCTAAATCGTGCCCCTTTAATAAAGGTTGTTTCTCTGCCTAATATATCTTACCAGATGTAACCAGATGTTTTTCATTCCAGCTGTCGGTGGTCGTAATGTTGTGGCTGATCAATGTTTTATTGTATTTCTGTCTAATGTGTTGCATTAACTGTTTTTCAGCGGTTGCGGACAGAGAACAGGCTTCTCAAACAGAGGATAGACACGCTGGAAAAAGTGAGTGTGGCACAGCTTGCGCTCTTCATCATCACACAGATGACACACTTCTCCCTCCTCATCAGTTTTGGCCTAATCCATCCAGCTTTACGTGTCCATACATCATGCATGTCTCCTGATGATGGAGGCTTTTCTTCCACTAACTGGACTGTGTTAGATGTACAGTTTTTCCTGGTAAAATCTTCAGTAAGCTGAGCCGTCTTGATTTGTAAATCAAATCCAGAGAAACGTCGATTCAGACGCCTGTTTGTGATGGTGCCTGTGTTAAAAGCTGGGAGTCGTCAGGCCGTACTAACTGAAGCAGACTCCGTAACAAGCATGTCTGAAACGTGAATGCAGCCGCTTGAATGTCGACGGCGTCTCAAAGCATGTCGGGTTGCGCTGTTTGTCTGGTTCTTGGTCCTGTGGTCCCTGAGTGGACGCCAGCGCTCTGCATGAGGCCTGCTGTGGATAGTGAGGATGTCCGCTGGGCTGCGTTCACAACACCTCAGTCTAAACGCCTCTAAACGCACGAGGCTGCTGCTCGCCAACATGTCTTTGCCACGCAACTCAGGAATTTGTTTGTAACTAACTGAACTTATTAAAAACAACTGGATCACATTCGATTAAAGCTGCGAGCTTCTGCACATCCTTTGGCTCTTTAGCTGCTCTTCTTGTACCGTTTGTCCGTCTCCACTTTAACCTGTGTTTCTGTTGCTGTGTCTCGTCTGAATTCCCTGACTTAGCAGCACCGCTTATTTCCTTACTTTGTCACCAGCTTATTTGAAGTTTTTTTCCCTCAAACCAACATGCAATGTTCTTTTTTAACCTCTGATTGTGAACATCATTGTAACTTGTGTTTTCTGGAGGAGAAATGAACATTGCATTGCTTCGTTGAAACAATCAGTTGTTTTTTTGTGTGTGCTTTTAACTGTCCTTTGGATTATTTCTCTCTCTCTCTGCTGTCTCTGTTCACATTTCTGTTTTGTAGGAAAGTGCTTCCTTGGCAGATAGATTGATTCAGGTATACTCCTCATTTTCTCTTTACCGTTATAACTTACAACTTCCATTTTCTCTCCCACTGTTTCTTTTGTTGCTTTGCATGCTTATGATTAGTACAATTATGGACAGTAATAATGTAAACTCTAACGAGTCTAATAAATAATTATGTCGAATTATAAAAAATAATTATATTTGTTTAATCGGCGTTGCAATTTGCACAGAAGAATCACAAATTATGTCAAAGAGAACTCAAAACTAACATCCAAATCGCAGTTGCTAACATTAAAACAAGCATGTCATGTTTGAAAGCCCATTCCTGCTTTTGTGATTTGCCCGTCCATTCCGCCTGTCCGTTTCACTTCCTGTCGTGCTCACTCCACTCCTCCTCGGTTGCTTATGTCCAAAGGGACAAGTGACCCGAGCTCAAGAGGCGGAAGAGAACTACCTGGTCAAGCGGGAACTGGCCACGGTCAAACAGCAGAGCGAGGAGGCCAGTGCTCAGCTGGAGCAGGCCAAGAAAACCATCAGGCAGCTTCAGCAGCAGCAGCAGCCACAAGCGGTAAGGAGGGTCACGGATCACTTCGCTGGGAGGAAGTAGTGTCTCAGGTCCTGTTGAGCGTAGGACAGGATTCAAATTATTAAGACTGGGACGCTGCCCAGCTCTGTGGCTTATTTCAGATCATGTACACCAGGGGTGTCAAACTCATTTTCACCGAGGGCCACATGAGAAATGGTAGTTGTAGTTAACTTTGATGTTTCATGTTTAACTTTGACTAAATGGTGTTTTAACACGTCCTCTTTTAAACACTGATAAGAACTAAGTGTATGACTGATTAAATCTGAAATAAATACAGAAATATTATTAAAAGTAAAACAAAAAGTTTTACTCACTGATGAGTTTCTAGTGAGTAGCTGCATTATGGCAGATTTAGTTTATGTTTGATGGTGACTTTAAAGCAGCTTATTTTCAGACATTAGTACTGTGCTATCCAACTAAATTGCTCAGTTACTTCAAGCCAACAGCTCAGGGACAGGAATTTATTTAATTTATTTTTATTTCATTTATCCATCCATTTTCTGTACACGCTTGTTCCTCGCAGGGTCGCGTGGGTCACTGGTACCCATGTACAGCAGTCACAGTGCGAGGGGCGGGGTACACCCTGGACAGGTCACAAGTCCATCACAGGGACTCACATAGAGACAAATGAGACAAACAACCATTCACTCTCTCACTCACACCTAGGGACAATTTAGAGTTATCAATTAACCTAACAGTCATGTTTTTGGTCTGTGGGAGGAAGCCGGAGTACCCGGAGAGAACCCACGTATGCACGGAGAGAACATGCAAACTCTACCCAGAAAGGTCCCTGGGCCGGGATTTGAACCGGCGACCTTCATCAGCTCTACCAACTGAGCCACCGTGCCGCACTTTTATTTCATTTATTTTTATTAAATTAATTTTGTTGCATTTAACCATAAATTTAAAGTTTACCATTGATATAAGAAACAAATTTCGTGTTAAGTAAAAAAAATCGGTGGGGGGGGGATATACCCCCTGGCAAGCCACACAGGAGTCACCTGCGGGCCACGTTTGGCCCGCGGGCGTTGTGTTTGACACGTGTGATGTACACAGTACGAATGTGTTAACGTTGATTAATTTACTCTTTACTGTTTAAATAACAAGCTCTCTGAGAGTTCAACCGCAATGCAAAAGATGTAAGGTTGAGTAAAATGTAAATCAGTTTGCGATGATTTACAAATTTCTTAATCTATATTTGATTCACAGTGGAACCATTTATTTATTTATTTTTAAAAGGTCATTTTGAAATTGATGGCAGCATCACATCCCAAACAAGTTGGGACAGGAGCAGCAATATGCTTTAAAGGAAGTGGTACATGTAGGAATGGCGTTTTGCAACAAATCAGGTTAAATGGCAACAGGTCAGTCAGAAGACTGGACAGCCTTTTAGAGAAGCTAAATCTCCTACAAATACAACTCAGTTCCAATGGACCTTGACAAATCAACATTTTAGATTCTTAGAAACAATGCCATGTTCTCCGTACTACAGAGGAAAGGAACTATCCAACCTGTTATCAGTTCAAAAACCAGCCTCGCCAATAGTATATGGGTGCATTAGGGCCTAAGGCGTCGGCAGCATACACATCTGGAAAGTTGCTATTAATGTAGAAAAGTGTAATATAGTCTGTGTCCATTATTCAAAGGCTGCGTCCTTCGAAGGACTACCTGGTCTAGGTGGGCCGGGTCCTTGGTCGACAGCGAAGACCAGAAAAACATTGTTGTGAATTTGGACAGTCTATAGTGTTACGGCCCTGTGGTTTCTATGCTGTCTTGTTTCTCTGCAGGGTTTGGAGTTGCAGCAGCAGGTGCTGTTGGTTGGCTTGATTGCTGCTTAAAAGCCGCCCACATGCAGCTTGTCTCGCTCTCTCCTCCTGATCCTCACTTGGTTTGGTTTGTATCTTTTTGTTTGGTTTGGTTGGGTTTGGTTTAGCTTGGGTTTACTTACTCTAAATATTTATGAGTCTTGGATTAATCTCAGTTTGGTTTTTCTCATTTCAGGTATTCCCTCTGAGGTTTATTTCTTTAGTATAATTTAATAAACTATTATTTTTGTGAAGTAAATTAATCCTTGTGTGGTCTCCTTTCATGTTACCCCACCAAACGAGCCTGGTGGACGTAACATGTGGGGGCTCGTCCAATTCTTTTGGACTGTCTTTGATTGATTGGCCTAATTTGTGTGGTCTAGTGGCAGTTACATGCCCTTGACAC